AATATTGGATAAGCAATCAGTAACATCTATCCCAGTATTAAAGTACATATTTTAGATAAAGTGCTAAGCACAGTAGTTAGCTGCTCAATCAAAGTTGAGCTGTAATTACTGCTATTATTATGATTACTGTTGTTATTATTACCATTTACCTATCTTACCCTCTGGACAAATGGAATAACTCATTATATCTAGATGTTCTTTTTACATTTCTACTATATATGTATCTGTATATGCTATATGTATCTCCCACAGTATCTCTGCTTCAAGGTCCAGGAAAATGCCATTTAACCCAAGAAGTCTTTCCTGACACCTACTCCTAACAGTAAATTCTATGGTGGCAAAACCCACATCAGACAAAAACTCCTGCATTCATTATTCCATTGAGCATAGTCTCTTGGAACGTGGTAGGTTCTAATAAACAGTGCCTTGATAATTTAAGTAATTCATGTACATATTTTTTTAAGATTGTATTTATTTATTTGTGAGAGAGGGAGTGAGAGAGAGCATAAGAGGGGAGAGGATCAGAGGGAGAAGCAGACTCCCCACTGAGCTGGGAGCCCAATGTGGGACTCAATCCTGGGATTCCAGGATCATGACCTGAGCCAAAGGCAGTTTAACCAACTGAGCCACCCAGGCACCCAGCATGTACATATTCATATCCACATTTACAGTCAGTCTTCTAGAATCAAATATGGTATATTCCTGAAATGTCAAAGTAAAACACTAGCATGATATGTCATAAAGTTAGTTGTGGGAGTGAGGGGGTGAAGACTGTATTCCCCAAGAATAAGAAGAAAAAAGTAAAAAATTCTCTAAAACACCATACATTTTACATGTTGTAGGAGTTCAGATTATAGTTCATCACATATTCCCTCCTCTACTATGGGCAGAGTCTACTTTTATCCATGGATGCTGATCTTCACCATGTGACATGCTATGTTCAAAAACGTTGTTTGTGAAGATGACATTGCTTGTGCAGTTTGACTCAGCTATCAAATCCAGTTATCCACCATGAGAAGGATATGCCTCAAGTAGCTGCTATCCCTTCCACTTGGGCCCCAGAACACATGTGTAGCAGACCAAAACCAAGTGCAGCCAGCAGCAGAGTCACCCGGGAACCCAGCCTAGATCAGTCAAATTAGAGTCAACCTAAAAACTCAGGAGAGTGAGGGGCATCTGGGTGGCTCAGTGGGTTAAAGCCTCTGCCTTCAGCTCGGGTCATGATCTCAGGGTTCTGGGACTGAGCCCCGCATTGGGCTCTCCGTTCAGCAGGGAGCCTGCTTCGCCCCCGCCCCTGCCTGCCTCTCTGCCTACCTGAGATCTCTATCTATCAAATAAATAAATAAATCTTAAAAAAAAAAAAAAAAAAACTCAGGAGAGTGAGAATTAATACCTGTTGCTGTAAGTCAAGAAGTTTTGATACACAACTAATAGAACTTTATCAATTGACATATCTTAGCATTTCTTACATATTAATTTACTTTTTTTCCTTTTCTTCATGCAAAAAAAAAAAACAAAAAACCAGACTGAAGAATCTCTGTGTTTGGTACACGCAATGGTGATTGGATCATTTGGATCAACTGTTTTAGATATAGGACCTACAACTATCATTAGTATCAGTCCTTTTCCATTTTCCATTTGTTCTATTTTTCTAAAATAAGGAAAATCACAATAAAGTATCAAGGAATAATTGCTGAAATTAAACCACTGGCTGGCAAGTAGGTCTCCCATATAACAGCCAAAATGTTAACTTCCTTTTTTTTTAAGATTTTATTTATTTATTTGACAGAGAGAGAGAGAGAAAGAGCACAAGCAGGAGGAGCGGAAGGAAGAGGGAGAAGCAGACTCCTCACAGAGCAAGGAGCCCAATGGAAAACTCGATCCCAGGAGCATGGGATCATGACCTGAGCCAAAGGCAGACACTAAACCAACAGAGACACCCAGGCATCCCCAAAATGTTAACTTTTTAGCTGATAAAGAGGTTAAAGATTGTCCCTAGTAAGATAAACAAAAATGTAGATTATACAAAATTAACCTCACCGAACTCAAAGACTATCTGTTGAGGTGAATTTATGGATTCCAACACCATTCAGTCAAACTAATATTTGAGTATATGTCTTTCAGCAAATCATTATCATTGAATTTCACCAAAGGGAAAACACTGATAAGGCTTAAGTCTTGTGGCTTTTCCAACATAATAAAACAAGAGGGCCACACTACTTCAATAGAGTAATTTTAAATACAATTATATTTTATCACTAATGAAAAAGAGTCTCTTTGAAGGTGAAAGAGAAAATAAAATTCTAATCCCTTAGCAAAAGAAAAAAAAAAGCCAAATGAATGATAAGAGCCCATATTCAACCTATACCTATTCAGAACTCCAACTGGAAATATAAGGTATCAGTAAAAATAGAAGAGTATGGATTTTTTTTTGTTTTACCTTCTTTTAAATAATCATCATTACATTTGGAACCAAATTTCCACTGGGCCAAAGCTGACTTACTAGAAATATACACAAAGTTACTAAATTTATCTACTGGTGAAGTGATGGCTTTCAGAGAGTCAAGGCACACATTAACATCACAGTGGATTCTAAATGGAATAGAACTTATGTATGCTGAAAAAGTCCATACTTCAGAATGGACACATATAGACGGCACAACCAAAATTTGAATTCAAGGCCACAGCCAAGGTCACAGGCTCTGGGGTCAGAGAAATGTGCACTCAAGTGCTCACTCTTACCCTAAACTGTGGCAAGATACATAATCCCTTTTAGCTTCCTTACCTATATTTTGAGGGTAATAATAACCCCTACCTCAAAGGAGCTCTGAAAGTTTTAAAAAAGATAATGCCTGTAAAATACTCCACAAAGTGCTAACATTTACAAAGTGCTAGCATTCACAATAGTAATAATACTACCTTGACAAACCTGGTTTATACATGAAAACCATCCTAATCAGTGCACTCTGGCTTACAATCTGTTCACGAAACAGCAAAGGCACGGCTTTATATTCACATCCACATACAGCTTCTATAAGGTAACAGGATCAACCAGTAATTTTTCTACTGAATTCAGAGAGAAGGGCACTGAAAAAAATAAGCCTTTCATTTATAGAGAATGAGGAGGAGCTGGTCCTGCTGCCCACACTCCAGCCACCCATGAAAGTCTTGCTGATGAAACCATCACCATCCACACACCGCCCTCCCAAACTGTGCTGGGTTTTTATTAAAGCACAGAGGCAGACAGACAAGATGGCTCACCTTAGAAGCAAACTCACCTTAAGGCAAACTCTTCTACCCTCCGAAAGGGATCTGTCTTGACCTCACTGCCACATCCAAACGGACAGCCAAACTGTAAGTGAAGAAGGCAAGCCCTCACTTCCAGAAGTTGAGTCACACTGTCAAAAACTACAGGAATCCCTTCTATTCATGCTAATCCTAATAAAGTATGCTTGTCTGCTTCAAAAATATCTTATAAAACCATTAATAGAGCCAAGAGCCAATTACAACTGTATACTGAGAAAACAATGTGACTTTACAAGGACAAGAGTGACCATAGGAGACAAAGTGCCACACCCTTTTCCCAGAGAGCTCAACAGTCAATGGTGTCTCTTATAAAGGAGCCTGCAATTCCAGAGAAATAGGTGGACGATTCTAACCCCCCAATACGCAGCCCCATCATTGCATTTTTTACACAGATCCATTTCATTTTCATTTTTAAGTCAATGGCCTGAGCATCCCCAACTACAACTAGTGAGGAGAGAAAGAGGAGAGAAAAAACCAACACAAGTCAAGCATACTTGCTTCTAAGCCCATTTTCCAAGAGTTTCCTTCCCGCTTGTCTGCCTCTCACAGCTGGAACCTCATACCTGGTGGAAACCAATGATTAAGTAAAACCACTGATTTAAAAAGCCAACCAGGAAACTAACCATGACAAGTGGGAGCTGCCCTCCTCTCCCGAGCGTTGATTGGCTCTTGAGGTTTTACCGGTCCCCGTTCTGCCCACATAAGTGGCAGGTGTGACTGTCAATCACAGAGGGACCTGACAATTCACCACTCCGGGAGTAAACTGCCTTTCATCCAGCAAAGGCAGGTAGCCGCCTAAAATCGATCCGCTCATAACAGAGCGGACCCTCCCTCTTTGGCAAGAACAGAGACCCCTAAGTACAAAATAAATAAGGCCGGGCCGATCCGCGAGTTTATGAGCGCTGTTTTATTATCCCGCACCAAAGCAGCCCTTAATCTTCACTGTCCTAAGATGATCTTTCAAAGGCTCGGACGAAAATTTTTTAAATGAGAATAAAAAATTGGGTACCACCTTCTAAGTACGCCTTTTCTTGTAAAATTCGGAGATGGGGAGGGGGAGGAAAGGAATGTCGTTCCGTTTAATTTCACGTCGTATTCGTTTTCATATACCACCACACTCTACCCCTCCCCAATAAAGCCGGCTTCATTTTTCCTGACACGGATTTTTTTTTTTTTTCCCTTAACACGCTCCCCTCGGAGCCCACCGAGGCAGCCAGGCACCCCACCCCCCTGGACTGGGGCTCCACCTTTCAACACTTTGTTCTGCTTGGGGCTCCCCGAGACCCTTGCCCCTGAGAACACCCACCCTCGAGGCAAGAGGGGAAAAGCCAGGAGAAAGAGGGGAAGCTGGAGAGAAGAAAGGCGATGGCAGTGAGGGTGGCTGCCGGAGAGGGACTGCGGGAGGTGGCCCGGGCCGCCGGGGCGAGCGAGCGGCGCCCGCGCGCCAGTGCAAGCCGTGCACTTGTTCCAATCCGGGGGTTTCTACATCAAGGCAAATCCGCCCTTAGGCCGCCCCATCCTTTCCTCCGCCCCAGAAAGCCCCGGTGGAGGCGGATGGTTCACCCCTCGGCTCCCCGCGATAACGCATTGCAGCTCCCCACGAGTGAGGGGCACCCGGCACAAGGGATGCCCGGCACGCGCGCCCCGAGGGAGCCGGGCGCCCAGCGGCCCCGGCCCCGGCGTCGACGTCTCACCTTTCTGATGCTCGCCCCGGGGCCGTCCCACATGGATTTTTACAACCTCACGTCGCCCTAGCCCCGGGCGGCCGGGAGGAGCCGGAGCCCGCGCGGGAGCCGGAGCCCGAGCTAGCCGAAGAGGGAGGAGGAGGTAGAGCGGGGCGGGGAGGGAGGGCACGGCTCGGAGGGCCGGGGCCGGGCGCGGGGCCGGGCGGGGCTGACGGCCAAGGGGGCGGCACCCGCCGCAGTCCTGAGACGCGCGCTCGCGCGGCGCTGCCCGAGCTGCGCTCTGCCGGGCCCCCCGCCCGGCCGCTCCGCGCGCTCGCCCGCTCGCCGCGGCCCTGACTCACATTCCCAGCATTCCCGAGGAGCCGCTGGGGGGGGCCGGGGCTGGGATGCGGGCGCCTCCGCGGGGGGCAGCAGAGAGCGCCTGGCCCCGCGCCGCGGGGGGTCTTCGAAGCACCTCCTCCCAGGTAGCTGCCTTCTCGAAGCACCGGTCCTCATCTCCTCTCCCGGACTCCTCTTCCCGGGTACCCTCCACAGGCTGCCAGGCACTCCTGGGACTGGTCAGGTGGCTTTGGCGACAGGGACAAGGAAGGCACTCGATAGAGGAGATGCAACTGTTTTAAATTAAGCTTGGGGGGGTGGGGGAGTCGGGATTCCCATATCCTGGCACCCTCCTATTAGCTTAATCTTGTTTAGGAGAGTGAAGGGATTTCGTAAGATTTTCACTTTCCTGTTCCCCTAAGGAAAAGAGAGAATGGCAGTTGAAAAAGGGATCAGGAAAAAGAAAATCATCATCAACCTCATAGTTACCATTCATTGAATGCCTTCTCTGTGCCCTCCAATGTGTGTGCATCGTCCCATTTAAGGTAGAAAGATGGCGTCTGAGTTCATTCACACACGCACACATACACACCTCAAGATAATGTGCAGCAAGAGTTAGACACGTTTTTCATTGGAAAAAGCTACCACCCAACAAGTCTGGAGCCCCAGCCACTACCATTTTATATTGGGGAGAAGACCTCACTGGAATCTCCAGATTTGGTCTCACACTGAGTAGTCAATTTGCAAGACTAAAGCAGTGATTTCCTTCCTGTCCTGATCAGTCTGCTGCTGGCAAGGTCAGCGACCAAACCTAAATGTCTCCTGCTGGGAAGCTCCAACAAATGAAGCTGAATCCAGCCATGGATGTCTGGACCAGCAGAGGTACAGAATCAGCACAATGATTAGGGATGACTCCTTCCTTCCTCCCACGATGGGAATTGAAATATTAAATGAAGGAAGTAGACTCTACTCAAATGCCCTGTTCCTTAAGCTTTCCTTTTTTCATAGTTTTTCACAGACTCATGGCCCCTGATGCCTCTTTGACCTTACCCTCTTCTTTCTCGCAGTCACCAAGAAACCAGCACTCATTCTGTTGACCTGGCTGCTCCAGGGTAAAAGCAAGCTACACCTGTTGTGTTTAGTTCTCTTTGTACCTCCTTGACAGCCTCTGCTAAAACGACCTGTTAAATAGATGGACGGATAGACAGATAGATGTACTTTGTTGAGAGTGCTTTAAGAAGTCCTAAAATCCCTTATCTTTTGAAATGTGACCAGCTTATTGATATTTCCTATGTGCACCACTTACATTTCCTCCGCTACTCTCACAAAAACTTTGTAAGATATTTACTCTCTTTCAGAAAGTCAGGTAACATATCCAGCTGAGAATGTATTTAAATCTATGCCTAAAGCTCACCACTCTTGGCCATCCATTCTCTATTCCTTTGATCCATGGGTTCTAAACAAGAATCGCTGGACTTCGTGGGGACAATTTCCTGTTTGTATGCCTATGTGCATTTTTCCCCCAGAGAGAAGATCTATGGTTCTCAACAGATTTCTTTGCATTGGGTCCTTGAAAAAGTTAAGAATAATCACTTTAAACAGAAAGCAACTTTATGTAGTAAAACAAGGACTGGAAGTTTAGGGATCTTAAGTCATCTTTATCCTCTCTGGGACTTAGTTTTCTCAACCGAAAAATTTTAAAGCTGACCTAAAGGATCTTAAGTACACTACAGTAAGGGAGACAGGCAAGAAAACAGGCCATTACAATATGGCTTATGAAGGAACAATGCTGGGGTGTCTGGGTGGCTCAGTTGGTTAAGCATCTGCCTTCAGCTCAGGTCATGATCCTGGAGTTCCAAGATCAAGCCCTGTGCCAGGCTCCCTGCTCAGCGGAGAGAGCCTGCTTCTCCTTCTGCACCTCACCCAGCTCATTCTTGCTCTCTCTCTCTCTCTCTCTCTCTCTCAAATAAATAAATAAAATCTTAACCCCTCCCCCCCCAAAAAAGGAACAATTCTCTAGGTACTCTAGGAGCATATGGGAAAGACAGCCAGCCCTTACCCTGGGGCTCAGAAATGGATTCCCAAGGAAAATGTCATCAAATTTGCTTGCTACATCCACCCTCCCTGTCCCACCCTGTGCTCAGCCCAGAGCAGCAGCCTGCATACTCTGTGAAGCCAACCATAGAAGACTGAATCTTTGGAGAACACCTGCCCCTGGGTGGGCTGTCACAAGCTCTCCCCACAGTATTTGAAACTAGGCCATTGGAATGAGTCAGCCAGTGGGTACTGAGTGAGCTTGTAGCCCAAATCAGAACTAGGGCACCCAAAACCATGGTGCCAAAGTCACCAAAAAATGAGCTCTAAGACCTTTGCTCATTGGCAGAAAGGAGAATAGACAGCCAAGTAGACAGAAACTGAGATTCCTAAAGGTCTGAAAGATTTGAATATGTACATGCTTACCTGATAACACTGATATGGGTGTCTAACTGGCATCTCAAACTTGATCTGTTCTAACAGGACTCTGGATTTGTGTATACCACATCTCTTCTCTCCCAAGGTCACCCATCAGATTAATGACACCACCCTTTAACCAGTTGCTCAGGTACAAACCTAGAAGCATCTTTGATTCCCCCCTTTGCTTATACCACACCTCTATCTCATCAACCAATTTTATCAGCTCTGCCCAGGACCATATTGGAGCTTGAAATCAAAAGAAAACTGTGTACTCCTATATATATATATATATATATATATATATATATATATATATATATTTTTTTTTTTTTTTTTTTGAACCAAGTAGAAAAAGTTAACAAAATCTCCACACTGAAAAAACCACAACTGTATCTAAAGCCCCATGTTCCCTAATATGTTTGGTCACTACTGCCAACCCTCATAAACCCAGCCAGCAGGTAGACACAATGGCCAAGTGGCCCAGGAACTGAGCACTTGTTAGAAATGATTATTCTTGTTGCACGATGATACAGAGTCATAAAATACAGCAACAGCCACCTCTCTCTCTTTTATACATATACACAACTAGGAAGTTGCAGGACTGAGATTCAAATCCCAATTCACAATTCACAAACTGGCTCCCTTACGTGGAGGGCAAGGAGAGACCAAGAAAGAAGCAGACCACTCCAGATTGGTAGGTGGCAGGTTTAATAAGAAAAGGAAGGCTTATCTCCAGTGATTCCGAGATGAGTAGATCTCTGCACCTGCCCATCAGAATCTTAAAGTTTATGTAGAGGCCCTAACTGCATTCAATCATGTGTACTATCCAGATGGTCTCAACGACACCTTACTCTCTCAAGGTTACGTCCTTAAAATGGTTCCCACTGTGGGAATGGTGAGCAGAGTGTACATTCTAAGGACTGGGGAGTGGATAAGGAGCTTCAAATTCCCCACCTCCAGCTTGTGGCTAACTGGTGAACACATTCTCTCAACTACTTGCTCCAACACAAGGCAGTCTGGCTCAGAATCAACACAGCAAAATCAACTAGACTTGGTGAGTAATTGGACATGGGACATGAGGGAGGAGCCAAGAGTGCTCCCAGGAGTCTGGTTCCAGCAAATGGTTAATGTGCCATTCACTAAGACCAGAAATAAAGTTGGGGGGGGTGATAAAGATTTATAGAAAATTTATGAATAATTTATGGGTTCATTTGGAGCTTTCTGAATTTTCAGTGCCAGGGACCTCAAGGTGGAAATATCCAGAAGGTGACTATTTCAGTGTGCTCTGAAGTCAGATGAGAGATTCCACACACTGAAGACAGTGTGTGGAAGTCATCACGTTTGGTAATTAGAGCTATGGGCATGGACGAGTAACCCAGGACAGTCATTAGCTATGAGAAGAATTTAGTTAGATGAGAAACAAAATCCCTAAACACCTCACAATTATCAGTGCTTCTTAGGCATGAAGTCATTTGTACATGTCTCTTAACAATGTAGGTTTGATTCAAGAGAAACATCATTGGGGCTGCCATAAAATAAAAAAGACCCAATTAACTGACTCACTACCACCACCACCACAGTTAATTGGATCAGAAATAATCACCTGACCCTTAAGAAGCCAACCTATTGGCTTAACTAAGCCAATCTAAGCCAATTCTCTTTGCCAGGAATGTTTTAAGACCTTTGTAGCCTTAAGTGTCAGAACAAGCATATCAAAATCCAGCACCATCAAAATATTTTTCCCTGTGGAAATTTTTTTTTTAATATTTTATTTATTCATTTGGCAGACAGAGATCACAAGCAGGCAGAGAGAGAGAGAGAGGAAAGCAGGCTCCCCACTGAGCAGAGAGCCCCATGTGGGACTCGATCCCAGGATCCTGAGATCATGACCTAAGCTGAAGGCAGAGTCTTAACCCACTGAGCCACCCAGGTGCCCCTCCCCATGGAAATTTTTGAAAGTTTTTTGGCTTTGCTTTTACAATTATTTGACTAATTTATTATATTCACTGTGGCTATGATTTGTCCGTAATCATAGAGCATACGCAAGAATTATTGTGAAATGAGGAGAAAATCTAACCTACAATTATTTTCAAATGGAATGAAATGTTTGTAAATATGAAAAACCATAAAGTTATGTTTTGTACACATTTATAAAATTAAACATTTATTAATTCCCCATTTACAGTTTCCTGTAAATCAGTAATCTCAAGGTATGCAAAGCTTTCAGGGCTTGCAAAAATGTTGGTTAAATGTCTGTATAATGTAAAATTACATCAATTGCTTTAGTTCCTCAGTTTCCAATAACTTTCCATTTCCACAATTCTAACCACTCATGAAATCTGGCCAC